TATAACTTATACTCCCTCATTTCTGTATTCCCTAAGACTCCAAAAAGTGTTTGCTACACTCAATTCCTCGCTAGTGGTTACCCTTAAACAACTTGGCATCTTCAAACCTGGTAGGGGCTGTCATGGAGGAAAATCAATACTTAAAGTTCAATCTGCTGACACTAAATCATCCGCTCCACCACCCTGTCTACCTGCAAACCCAATGGAAGTGATTCATCCTAGAAGCCACAAAAACTGCACTATCAAATCAAGGAAACCTCTTTGTGTGATCCCCATTAGAGATGTCGCGAACTGCTCGCCGAACTGTTCGCGAACTGTCTGCTGACGAACAATAGCGTGTTCGCGTTGGGCGAACATATACGATTTCCAGTCCGCCCCCTATTCGTCATCATTGAGTAAACTTTGACCCGGAATACAAATATATTCGGGGCCAGTACAAACCTTTATCTATGAAATATATTCATAACCAGGGCTATACATAGGACACAAGGTTACACATTTAGGCTGGAAGAAAGGAGATTTCATCTAAAGCAAATAAAAACTTTTTTTACAGTAAGAGCAATAAGGATATGGAATTCTCTGCCTGAAGAGGTGGTTTTGTCAGAGTCTATACAGATGTTTAAACTGCAATTGGATAAATACTTGCAAAAACACAACATACAGGGATATAATTTCTAATTAGTGGGGTAATAGCTGCTTGATCCAAGGAGACATCGGACTGCTATTTTGGGGTCAAGAAGGAATTTCTTCCTAGTTTGTTGCAAAATTGGAAGCGCTTCAGACTACGTTTTTTGCCTTCTTTTGGATCAACAGCAAAAATATGTGAGGAAGGCTGAACTTGATGGACTCAAGTCTCTTTTCAGCTATGTAACTATGTAATATCTTTCAATGTTTGCAGGTATGTATTTACATTAACTCATATCTATATTCCCCATATGTGTCATATTGCTCCCTCTATATATAGCCACGGATCTAAATCTCTGCTGGAGTTTTCTTATGCCTGGGCTCTTTAATAATAAGTAATATTGGCTTTGTGTTTAGAAAATGTATCTTTGATTTTCTGGGAAATTTCAGAGAGCATGCAATAAGTTCCTTGATTTAATATTTTTGGATAACTTTTTTTCAAAATATCACAAACTATTGGAAAATAACCTTTTCAAATGATACCTCTATAAAAAATATTAATTAAAGTCTTGGAAGACTGTGATCATTAAAGATTGTGATGATTTGAAAAACGTATCCCAAATAATTCAATAGGGGCCCAAGTTGCAGTCATACATGAGAAATCCTTTTATATCATTCTGGAGGAGAACATTGTCCCAGGAAGGCTATGGTACTTAAAAAAAAATCAAAAAAAAAATCACATGAAGTACTAAAAATCACCTTTTTCTCTCTTGGGTCATCTTGGATAAAATATATTACTTCCTAACTCATTAATTTAATGTATTTCTTCAAGTCTGCCTCTTTAGAATCCACGTTGAGTATCCCTTTTTTTTTTTTTCAGAATTTTTCAAGTTGGCTCTTCTGGTCAAAAATTTGCAATTTCCTTATTGATTCTCAAAAAATAGTATATGTAGATATGGTGCAATGACCTGAAATAAATATTGTTTAAGCACACCCACTCTGCCAGCTGTTGACAGAGAATATAAATATCTCATCAAGAATTTTAAACATTTTGTATTAGTTCAGTCACTGACATTTGAGCAATTTGCTGCCATCTTAAATGCTCAGAATTATCTTGATTTTGTAAGTCAATCAACTCATTTAACTGAATATTACACATTGTTATCACAACATCTAACACTTCATTATAGAATACACATAATGTGAAAACTATTCTCTAATAGAAACTCTACCTCTCCGAAGAGACAGAACAAAGCCGATAACATTTTTCTTTGCTTCTAAAACTGTAAGTTTGTTTGCAAAAAAAGCATACAATTTGCACAAATATCTAATACCCTTTTAATTCTCTTTCCAGAGCTCATGAAAAATAAAACATACAATGTAGGAAATTGTAAGACTTCACTGTGTTTCTATAATATACTGTATAGTACACCAATTAAACAATTATAAATATTAGAAACAATATTTCACAGACCATTAGATAGTGAGGAGTGTGTAGCGCTAAGGTCAATCAACACTTACCCCTAAGGGCTAGAGGATATTTTGGTAAAGGAATCCCTAAAAGGGGACAACTAAACAAATATAGTGCAATAAACCTATGTACAAATGGTGAGGATATAGTCTTATTAAAATCACTCACATGGTTCAGAGCCTCTTAAGGACCGGCTCTGATCTCTTCCACTTTTGTGTACTTAAGGTGACACACACCCTATGTGTCCATATTAGGCGAAAACCTCAATAATGGAGATAAAAAAACACCACCTTACTTTCCTGGATGAGCTACAAGTAGCCCTAATGGTAGATATCACAATCCTTGTTACTCCTAGAGGATGATCTATACCATAACTAACTAAATGACAGCTATAACACAGCTTCATGCGACACCTGATGTACGATATACACACAAGCCTATTTGGGTGCCAATTCTTAAACGTGTAAATAACCGCCTTTGTGTAACCTTGAGATGGACCTGCGCGTCCACCAGACACATGTTATGCTTTCCTGATTATTCACCCTTTACATGAAATAAAAGATTTTCAAAAAAAATAAAAAAATAATGGAGATAAAAAATGGTTGTGAACAGGGAAGCAAAGCTGACCTTGGTGTAGAAATCCTCAAAGTAAATCAAAAGAAAGGTATAGGTCCAAGATTTGTTTCGCCGATCAAGTTCAGCTTTTTCAATTGGTGATGTCAATGCTGCCGGTTCTGATTTAAATACCCTGTAAGGGAAGAATGATTGGTGAATGACGTTCGTAATACGTCCAATCACGAACGTTCCTGCGAGGGGGAGTGTGGGGTATCAGCTGTCAATATTCTATCCCTAATGGTGAGGTCATTAGGCAATACGGAGTGTGTGTGTGACGTCACTTCCAGGATTCGTGTAATCCTCGATACGCCTCCCATTCCGGAAATGTCATGATGTGGGAAACTTTGTTGATTCTCCCAGCATTCTCTTTGTTGTAGGCTTGATATATAGAAGTCACACAACGTTCCATTTTTTGACGGTTCCGTCACCATTTTCATCGTGGGCAAAGTATTAGAAAGGACGAATGTCCATATAAAGTAAATCGTTCTTCACAAAGTATGATGTATTCCTAAAAGATTATGCTCATGAAGGGCATATTTTTAAGAGAAAAACATAAATATTAGGATAATAGTAAATAAGGCATGAATACTATATATTTACATAATAACTGTTCAGTCATATTAACAAGTGGGATAATGATACTGTGGAGAAAATCTATATACATCTCAATTTTTCATCCTAAAGGTGATTGCAATATGTCACTAATGACGATTTCATATCCATAGTATTCAAATATCGATAACTCTATAAAATGTATATAGAAAAAACCCATTTTAAATTTTTTTATAAAATAGTTATAAAAATAAACAAAAAATTTATATTATTTTCTTATAAAAATGACATGATTTGAAGTCATCATTAAGTCCATACGGTTGAATAGTATTGAGGTTAAAGATCCATTGCATCTCTGTTTGTCCTATATAATTTTAATTAGATCCCCTCCTCTCCAATTCATGGGGATTTTCTGGATTCCTATAAATTCCATTAGAAGGGGATCGCTATTATGTATATCCTTAAAGTGCAATGAAACACTGTTTTTCAAAACCTTTTTTAATATTTCTTGTATGTTCCTGAATCCTTGTATTCGGTGTCCTAATTGTTCTCCATATGTATGCTAATCCGCAAGGGCAGGTGATCATGTATATGACTTTCGTAGAGTGGCATGTAAGCATTTGTTTAATTTTGAACTGCTTTCTTTTGTCTTTTGGATGATTAAATTCCTTTACGAGTCGTTTTTTACTTTTATTACTCTTACATACTCCACATGAGTAGGATCACTCCTCAGGATTGGCCAATATTTTTTGATTATTTTCTTTAAATGACCACTATTGCAATTAAAATCACAAATAAAATTTAGATTTTGAAATTCTAGATCCGTTTTTTTTCTCCTTATATTTAATTAATTCATTTATGTCGTCAATTTTGACTTCTACATAAGCTTTTTCTAGTAATTCACTTTGATATCCTTTCTCTTTGAAATCTTTAATTATTCTTAAAGATTGTTTTTGGAATTTCCCATAATCTGTACAGTTGGTCTTAAATCGCAGGAGCTGTTCTTTGGAGACGTTCAACAGCCACAGGGAAAAATGACAACTCTTCTCCCCTATGTAGCTGTTGACATCAACTATCTTGAAAAAGAGTGCAAGTTTTAAGTGTGTTTTCTTCCACATACGGTATATGTTAAGGTCTAAAAATTCTACAGATGTTTTGCTAAAATGGCTGGTAAGTTTACAACTGTTTGGCCTGCTGTGATAGAGGCTCAGATTGAGGAAATCTTGTCTTTGAAGAAGATCGCAAATGCTTCACACTTATCCTGAGGAAAGTTGATGGGGATATGCATGCATGCTAGTTTACAGAGCCTTTCTACTGTGCGAAACAGTTGCCTGGGTCTATTGTGGGAGAGTGCCATTTCGCGTGATAAAATGTTTTGTTTTTTTTCCGAATTGAATTTATTGAATTTATTAAATTGATATTCATTTAGAGGTTTGGTAAGAGTGACTTTATCCTCTGGATCATGTGTCCTGCGCCACTTTCTTTCGAGTTACGGCCTGTTCTCTTCATTTCTCTGGTGATGCTATGGTGCACTGTTGTAGGTTTTGACAGTGAGTATGCGTGTTGATGCAATGCTTTCTAGGGTATTTCTCTATGGTGTTGTTGAATGTTATCATATCTAGAGTTGAGCGAACCCGGACTGTAAAGTTAGGGTTCATACTGAACATTAAGTTTTTTGGACCTCTGACCTGAAAACGGACATATCAGTGTATGTTCGTTCGGGTTGGAGTTCGGTTTTCCTCACTCCCGCGTCAGAAGTGGGTCATTTGCATGCCTGCTGCCTTTCTTGCATGTGGTAGCTGTTTCTCAGGCTCCCTCTCCGGAATCGAACCCTGATTCCCTGTTACCCGTGGTGACCATGGTAGGCGCAGAAAGTGGCATCGAAAGTTGATATGGATGACATACGAATGCATCGTCGCCTTGTCATTGGGGACCCCATTGAAAAAGGACTCTAGCATGACGAGCTGGGTGATCTCCTCCAGGAACTTGGTTTGATGGGAGTTGAGCCAGTTCTGGGTGGCCCTTGTGATGCGGCATGCCCACTCCGCATGGGAGTCCTTCTCCCCTGTCTGGGTTTCCCTAAACCTTCGGCGGTATTGCTTGGGGGTGACCGCATACCGAGCTAGGAGGATTTAGGTAATAAAGGGATAGTCTCTGATCTGCTCTTCTGGTACAGCCAGGTAAATATCCACTGCCTTCCCCACTAGTTTGCTGGCCTCAATGGTGACCCAGTCGCTGGGGTCCATGTCTTGGAGTAGGCACTGGCGCTCAAAGTCTTGTAAAAAGTAATTGATGCCTTCGTCTGCTTCCTTGAAGTCTTTGAAGGCATTGTATAATAGCTTGTGGGAAAAAACCCACACCGCGCAGGAGCTGTGGATGGGCATGGAACAACAGACCGATGAGTGGTTGTTGCCACTGAGTCTCAAGCCCGGCCTGGTGGTGTGTGATAATGTGCGAAATCTCGTAGCAGCTCTGGGCCTAGCCGGTTTGACGCACATCCCTTGCCTGGTGCATGTGCTGAATTTGGTGGTGCAGAAATTTCTGAAAACCTACAGATATATCAGAGCAGCTGTCTGTGCACGCTTTTCGCATTCTCACTCTGCTTGCCTGTCTGCACCATCTAGTGCTATTTTATGGCTCAGCTCTATTTTTAATATTTAGGTATTTTATGTTATTTTAAGTGATTTCCCTAGCCACATTTGCTTGCAGGGCACTTGTCCTACTCTTACCCCCATTTTACTTCTTTTTTCAGCCCTTTAGCCCTTTCCAGGACTTTTTTAGAGGCATTTTTGTGCCCAAAAGATTAGGTCCCCATTGACTCCAATGGGGTTCGGGTTAGGGGTCAAGTTCGATCCCGAACCCAGACTTTTTTTCAAAGTTCGGCCGAACCCGCCGGACCCGAACATCCAGGTGTCCGCTCAACTCTAATCATATCCCCTCTCAGGCGCCGTTTTTCCAAAACAAACAGATTTAAGTTTTTTAACCTTTCTTCATAACTAAAATTACTTCTATCACTTTTGTAGATTGGGAGGGTGGGCCTCAGAAGGGGTGTCACCGGTGATGTGACTCAAGTCACTGACGATGACCATAATGGGCAGACTCACCTGGAAAAGAGGCAGGCCCACCTATTGAAGGACTGAATGGTCCTGTCTGTCAAATCCCCAGCCTGAAAGGCTTCTGATGTGCTCTCTGCAGGTTCCTAGGATTGCTACAGAGTGCAAGCGCTCCATGGAAGTATATCGGGAAGGTGGGCCTGGACCCCAAAAACAAGACACATGATGCTTCACATGATGCAATGTTTCAAATATGGGGTTAGGGAAATAACGAGGAAAGTGGGCAATAAGATGCTGAAATCATCAAGCAAATGAGAGAATTATGGACTCTTGGGGGAATTGCATCAAATGCATATAATATGGGCCATATTGAAAAATCATGGGGGCTATGTCTTTTTGCAAATCACCTAGTAAGAGGGTTAAATTAAATAACAAGATTTTTTTCTACCTGGATGCTGAATTATTATATAAGTAAGTCATTAAAATAAACAAAAATTAAAATAAACAAGGACCAACTTCGACCTGAATTTCTGTTTTCCACTTTTTCTATCAAATAGTGCCTGGATTTCGGCAAATACTGGACATTTTGATGGCTTTTTTGATCTTCAACATGTCATCACTTATCTATCTCTATATGGTACTCGCTATAAAGGACCAAGATATTTTGGGACATGATTTACACTATTTATTCAGTGACCTTTCGGTTAATAACTTGAGATGTTTGAAACAGAGAATGTAGAACATTTCCAGGTTTTAAGTGAGCAGATACTTTTTATAAGAATGTCAGGTGTTTGGAACCAATTCCATAATTCGACACATGATGTTCCGTGTGTATGTGACAGCTGAAATAGCAATTGCCATAATGTACAGTCCACACAAAATTACACAAGCTGAATGATCATATCCTATGCTGGTTGATGATTTCCAAGTTTCCATTTTACGATGCGTAACAAATTAATTTCTCGATCCAAGAGCTTGGTAAAAATTATTTTTGCTTATGAGGCATGTCATTGCATGAAAAATCAGAGAAGCAACACGCTTCATTTGTAACACACATGCTGCTACTTCATGTGTTTTTAACGCAGATATAATTCCTTGTCTATCTAGTTCAATGCATGCTTATATAAATAATAAAGAATTATATCACTTGTCAAACTGTACTGTAGTATCCTATGGTCAAGGACATCCGCATAGAGAGGAGAGGGGCATATTTGTCTGCTTAATGTTGCATATTCCTTACCTACCAATAGTCTCTTGTGTTACAGCCAGAGATTTCTCAATTTCGTTCCTCCTTCCACTGAGCACCAATTCGCTCCCATATAATGATATGCTGTCCATGGTAATGTATATCCTAGATGTTTAGAACCCATCCTCACAGGCTAAGACAAGGACTCTGTACTTGGCTGTAACCGAGATACCTTACTTATTTGTTAAACATATGTTACTAATTTGTGTCACCAATCAATGGCGTATAATGTGTAGATTGCCAGCTAGGGCTAACAAGTGCTGTCACTTACACACTTTCACACAAAAAGCCAGTCCGAAAGACTAACCCCACTACAGAAAGTACATCTTGTGAGACAGGACCTGGGACCCTCAATAGATGCCGAAATTCCAAAATGATGGTATTTTTTCAACATTGACTTTGTGCGGTAAATATTCATACCCTGTTTGTATAAATTACCAAGGTTATCGTAAAGTACTTTGGGTGTTATGGGCATTATCTAAGAAGTGTTAAATAAGGAAGCGAATACCTATCATCTTTTAACACACCTATCACTTAACTATTTTGTGTGACTCAATGCTTACAGGTCTGTGTGGCCTTTATGTCACTCACACGTGCTGCACACAGAGACGTTATTACATATTTCTCATTTTTACCTGGGGCAAATTTGCAAAACATTTGTTGCTGTTTGGCCTTTATTTTTCCTCATGTTCTATCAGAGGGAGGAGTTAAAATAATCCATAGTTTATGCTGATTGTTGGCTACTTAAATGCTATGTCCTTATCCTGGGAATCTAAGACTACTCTTAATTATTTGTATTGGAGTTTTATACGTTTATAATAAAGTGTTTATGCTCGTCTTCTTTTGTACTCGTACGTTTTTATGAGTTCAATAGAATTGCCCTAATTGTGGAAACTTGCCGACAAGTTCAACTAATTCTAATGTGTGACAGTTTTGTGTCTGATATTCCTTTTAATTACCATTATAATTGCATGGTAGATACTGTATAGTATATGTGTATAATTATTGTTAAAATGAAACACGTTATCGCAGCCTGTTTGTTTAATGGTTGTTTTATTTTAATATATATATATATAATATCGCTACTCCACTCTTAAAGGTAAATTTGATACCTTGAGAATTTCAGATTGCCTACAGCAAGGGAATTCGTTTGACTATTGCACATTTTTCAAGTGTTTCTTGAGCTATTCATTTGTCTAATAGTACTTATAGCTTTAGGTGCATTGACAGTGCCTTGACAGTGCCAAAACCCACATACAACTTGCAGGCCTACCAGCAGGACACTAGACTTTGGATGGCAAGTGATTTCTACCACCATGTAGATCTTGGTCACTAATTTGATATTAATATTACACCCTCTAACAGGGTTGCAAGGATCTGTGCATGCCATTTTAAAGCTGATGATAACAAGTAGGGAAGGGATTGCCATAAGGTCACTAAGTTCACTGCCTCGCAGCGGCAGACAGGTGAGGGGTGGCACGGCTGGTGCAGAGGTCTCCTGCAGGGCCGGCGGGTGGCGCTCAATTACAGAAGAGATTTTATGGTATCAGAGTGTTGCCATGATACAATCCTTCAGTACTGGCTGAAAGGATCTATCTCATCCACTAAGGTGCAGCCAGCAACATCTCTCACTGGACCACCAGAGAACATCATGTTTCCCCCTCCTGGCCCAAGGTAATCATCAGAGGAGGGGGAAATACACGCCTGACTTTCCCTTTTTTTAAGAAAACATTTTTCGAAACAGTCCCTGTCTCTCACACTACAACCGCAGTCCTCCAACTGGAGGCCCCTGTTCCTTCACTACAGCCTCTATCCACCACCACAGCCCATATCCTCACACTATAGACCACTATAACCCCTATCCTCCCACTACAGCCCCCACTACAGCCTATATCCCCCACTACAGCCCATATCCTCACACTATAGACCCTATCTCCCCCACTACAACCCCTATCCTCCCACTACAGTGTGTATGTGTGTTTCATATTTATACACACTGACACACAGATACACACACTGACACAAACACAGATACACACACCTTGATACACAGATGTGAAGAAACTACCCTATTTTGTTCATTAACTTGGATTTTTCTCGTTCGGTAGATAAAACTACCGAACATGACCACCCCCCTGGCTCATTAACTACAAAAGGAAATGCGGATTAAGTGCTCTCTGTGTGGCCGCCGTTTGTATGGCTGAACGCCACATGCTGGAGAAAACGGTGGCAATCTTGCACGAAAAGAAGCAGCAGGACTTGGTCGTTGAGGGTCTGGATCTGAAATCGGACACTCTACTTCCCAAACACTGGTCAACTTTGCGAATGCCTGCTTTTTTTCACCGACCAGCCAGGAGAGCGCTATTCGGTAGGTTTGTTCCCACGAACTAGGGGAACAAATGCTCCCCATGAGCCAGGAAAACAGTTCATGGATTTGTTCGGTTTTAGAACTCCCTGAAATAGACTGACCGCTACCTCTGAAACTGTGGAACTGTTTTGGGCATAAGACTTTGTGTGCAGTCGGTCAAAATATGACTGCCATGGAAATCCCGAACCACTCAACCGATCTGGGTGATGTTTAGATATGTTGGTCCCCCAGATTGGGGCTATCAGGGGATTGGATTGTTGTGGGGTTGCCATGTGTTTTGGGGGTATTTTCAGGGTGTTATT